CCGCAGCAACTAAGAGAATATAAATGCTCTGTGTCTTTAGAGGGTAAATAATTCAGAAAAATTATCAGCTCTTCCCTGAATAGGTAGGACAATTAATAATTGTCATTTATTTAGTAGTTACCCTGCCTGTCTTGTTCTTAAATAGGCTAGACGCAGTTAAGGACCCCTATACACATTATTTGGAAAGAAATCTTTGAGTTTGATAGGAATTGTTTCAGAATAAGCTGGTTTAAGATTACTATTTCTCTTTGTACTGTTTGGGTATCCGAGAGGTTTATAATCTAGATTATAGTAAATAATTCCATTTTTAAAAGTAACCAAGGTCTTTTATATTTGTTTCTGGTTACTGTGAGCATGTTTGAACATGTTTGGTCATTCCTTTATACATTTTCCCTATGTTCCCTATGTGCTTCAGTAGTTAAGATTAGAAGATACTAATTGTCATACAGTACTAGCATTGCAAAGCTGAATCCATCTCTCATCTGGAACAGTTAAATAAAAGAAGGATATTAAGTGTGTTGATGTAGTACATTAAAAGATTGGGAGAGTGGGAGGCAGTGCATAGGGGCAAGAACATATCATCCTTAGTAGGTAATCCTAGACTAATAAATGATTTAACTAATACAATTTTATCAAATAGCATCGGGTGAGGAACATCAAGGATGTAATGTTTTGGAAGCAAGTAGTTTGTTCCCCCATCTGTGCTGCATATTTTGGGGATAATACTCTGTACATTACACAGCGGGAAGAATTGGATGCTTCAATTGTAGTCAGTTACCTAGTAGGTACAATCAACTAATGTTTGAGGAGCCTAGACTGATTTACTCTGTGTATATGATTAGTATCTGTCTCCTTTCCTCATTCTTCTGTAGTGGAATCTTCATTGGGCCTTCTAGTAATCTAAAACGAACAGCTGAATCTAACTGCTTCTCTACTGTGCTGTGAATACTGCCTAACTCAGTACATTACTTTAATAAATACCAACAATCACTAACATAGATCTGTTTAACGAAGGGTAGAGCGGAATATGTTTTTTAAATAAGTTAATAGCCTAAAGCCAGCCAAGCCATTTTTAAAATTAGTGTAATAGAATTTAGCCCAATCAGCTTATTCTGCCCCTAGTTAGTATAACTTCTACACCGTGGTCAGGAGTTCATATTGGCCCACTGAGTCAAATACCCTCAATGTTTCTCTTCCTAAACAAAAATTCTGTCTTAAGAAATGAAGCAAAAATGTTCATCTCTATTGAACATATAGAATTTTCTTGAATCAGTTACTGACTCTTAAGCCATGCATTTAAGATTTGCCAGTCTTGCAGTTATCTATATTACAGGATGATCAGCAATCACGCCTGTGGCCTGATTTATTATTTTAAACTACAAACATAGCTTGTTTGCCTGAGTTTTACGCAATAACATGCAGCTTAAAGTAGAACTTTCTAGAATATGTAACCTTTCTGGTTATTCAAAGGATATTGGTGAAGGAGGAGTCACTAGTAACTTTCAAGTATTAAAATACTTTTATTTTAAAGTTAACTTTTAAAAGATTATTATGCCACCCACTGTAGATTTTTGGTCACATTTGCAGCTGAGGCACTTTCTCTAAGGGCAAGTTATTTGGTTGTGTGTTATACTTCACTCCATCTCTTTTCTTCTTTCCCAACTCCGCAGCCTGTTTTTTACAGGGTATAAGTTTTCCTTTCATTGGCGGTGACCAAAGCATTCCCTTTGATCCAACTCCTATAGTTTTAAATAAAGCATGAGTTAGATTACGTTTTGCTATTCTTTCTCTTGCAGAGAAGCTTCTAGTTTACATATCATTCAACAATTCCCTTGTACTTACATAATTGGTATTGTCTGTGTCCATAGTAGAGGACACTTGATGCTCATTTATTAAATATGCTTGCTGGCTGCTCCCTAATCTTTGTTCTGGACAGACAAATTACCTTTCTCACACTGAGTATCAACTCTGGGGAATTAAACCTCCAAGCTTCCACCAGTTTAATTAGCTTGAAAGTGGGGGGTTGCAGTTACTAATAGACCTCAGGCTTTTAGTAACTTCAAGGAAGGGTAAAAAAAAAACTTCTTAGGAAATTCAAAATGTCATTTAAAAACCATAAAAATCTAATACATTATTTCATTTTCATAATTACAAACAGATTGCATTTGAAAACTGTCGATCGTTTCTACTTTATCTGTGGAAGCTAGATTTCTGTCGAGCTAGGCATTTTTAATTATCACAATTCATTAACACATCACAGTGGAGGCACATGTTTGACTTTGAATATTACAGAGTTTATGTAACATTAACTAACGTAGCAGATGAGGAATCTTAAATGGAAGGAAAATATTCCAAAATGTCTATATTTAGTTTTTGTGCTATGCAGCATGCTAACTACTGTTGCCTAGGGGAGGGTATCTTATATGCTTTGACAGAATTTTTTTCCTAATTTAGAAGATCACTTTACTTGGTTCTTCAAAGGAAAGGCATGTCATTTAATCCCAGTCCAAGGGAAATGCATCTTTTGTAAAAGAAATAAAAAGAGACTGTAGGATTTCTCACTCGAAGCATTTCCCCCCCCCTTTGGTGAAAGTATATCTTGCTGTCAAACTGCAGAAAATATTTTTTGCGGTCTGTTTCTCCATTTGAACTCTTTAGGGACTTGGATGCGTATTACAGAAAACCTTTAATCGAGTCACAGTTGGAATCTAATTTAATAGAATAAGCGAATCGCGAGAAGACGAAAGCAGTCACGTTCGGCTCAAATCAAGCATTTTAGCTAAGATGCCCCTTTTTTTATTTCTTGCAGGTCTGCTAAAAGATCAGAGTACTGCAGAATGCGTGCCTTCATCTCAAACTTTGTTCATCACAGATGGATCCCATGTCTCCAGTAGACAAGTCACCTTTGTAGCTAGCATCAGTGCCAGCTCCATGCCATTGCACCTTCTTTACTCTTGATTGCCCTTCTCGCATTTATTGGTGTATTAAAATGACTGAAAAATGAACATTTAAGAACTCCATGAATCTGGGCTAATGGGAGACTGTAGAGAAAAAAATGGAGGGGAAAAAAAAAAAATCCACCGGAAGAGAGAACAACTTTGGGTGGGTAGGGTGGGGACAAACGACTAATGAAGCTAATCCAGATAAGCTTTCGAGTCTGCTTTCTACCCTCATTAACAATTAGCAGGGCACTGGTGAGAATTCGTACCCTGTGTTTTACCTTAACAGCATTCTCTTTGCTCTTTGTATAATTTACGTGTTGTAGGAAATGTTCAAAACTCAAACCTGAGCTAATGGAAAGATGGGGCTCTTGTGATAATCTATCACGAATACTTTTATTGTATCTCTGTAAAATACAAATGTATGTATGCATGTAAGTGTGTTTTGTCCTAATGTTGCTACTTCCCATGACACAGAAAGAAAAAGGAAAAAAAAAAAGTCAAGCTCATAGCAGCAACTGTAGAATTTTCATCTACTCCTAATTCGCTGAATGAAGAAGAAAAATCTTTTATTTGTGATATTTTCAGAGACATTTGCTCTAGTATGGTGTATTTAAATAATAAAAAACTTAAAATGAAAGGAACCGTAATTGATTTTGGACTATAGTACAATGGGGCAAATTTCAAGGGATGAAGTCTGTCACAGTGAGTTAATTTTTAAAACCTGGTTTTCCTGCTTCCCAGTAGCTCCATGGCAAAAAAAAGGAATGCATTGAAATCTATACAAAGAGATACTTTTAGCAGTGCTACCAAATGCAGAAGTGATGTCTAATGTATCAAGGATTTATTTCTATGACTGTAATGTTTAATGGCAGGCAGATTTAACTAAAGAATTTTGTGCTCCCTTCACTTAAGACATTCAATTTTCATGAATGATAGGAAACGTAGGTCTATCCTATCATCATTAACTTACTAATAGTAATAATATGTATGTGAATTCAAAAGCACATCTAGGAATTGGGGTGGTTTCTAAGATGCCATGTTACTCAAAAGTGTCCTGGTTGTGAACATTCTGTTTAAAATGTCTCATTCTGTAGCAAAATCTCCTGAGAAAAGAATGATACCTTCCTTATTTTTCTGCTTTGAAATATCCCCCTTCTCCCCAATTATGAGTACTGTTTCGATGCTGCATGAGTGCAAACTTTTTTTCACTGCTTCTCCAAGATGCAAAACTATTTTTTTTATACTCCGTGAACCTGACAATCACCTTGAAGCATACAGAGATACACTGTATGTAATCCATATATACCCAAGACCATAGAGCAATATAGCAAATTCAAGGCAAGTGTACAAAAGCTGCTTGTAATTAAAGTCTTGTATGTTCCCCTTACAGTCCCCAAAAGAGAAATAATACTTCAACCACGGTATTGGAGTTGCTGGTTTATAGAGTTAATGAAATGGCTAATAAATTGGCTTTAATTGGCATTTCCCAATCAGTTTTCAGGAGAGTGGAATTCTAGGAGCTGAAGTCCGCATACCTAGAAATTGCCATGGTTGGGAAATAGTGGTTATCCAATGTCCTGAAATTTGTCTTTTGTTGAAGAAATGTAATGAAACAAGATTTCAGATGGCATAATTGGGTATATTTTGTCTGTAGTCCTGTAAATGTTTCCTTTCAACATCATACTAATTTTTATATAGATAGGAATGAAAGATTCTTGCCACAGTTGAAAAGTTGCCAAATGTGGTCTGAACTATTCTTTATAATTATAGATAAAAAGTGTTCTTCAAGTTGAATTTCATTTTTGGTGATTTCGTGGGCACATATCTTAATTTCATACAGAAAGAATTTATTACCTAAAGCATAACCACACTACATAAGTTTGGCAGAGTTTTTTTTAAAATCAATAAATGGCTAATAACTCTTGAGTGTTAACTAGGAGATTTAACATGCAGAGTTCTGGCTTTTCATTAAATTTTGCATACCTTCTTCATCACCACCACCACAAAACAATTCAAGGATAAGATGGGTTGTCCCAAAATAACAATGTAGTCCATGAGTAATTTATAGTCTAAATTTATGGTGGTGCTTGATGTTGTTTTGTCTGTAAGATGGTTTTGTGTAATTATGATCCATGCAAACTAAGGAAGGACATCAATTTTGAATTCCAAATGCATTCCTGGTAAATATTAATGTTCTCTGGAGTGAAGTATTGCATCATTTTATTTCTGGCTAAGAAATAAATACATGCACTTGAGACTCCAGGGTGAAACTCTAAAAATAGAAAAAGCTAACTTCAAATTCATTAAAAGTAAAGGATTTTAATGTATTTTAATTTTGATCAGAGCAATAATTAAATTTATTGCACTTCCTGCAGAGTCCACCGAAACATTGGCCTAGTTCAGTTGCAATGGCCAACCATGATTTTGTACTACATATCTGAATTTGGGGTATTCTCCCCTTCACTCTCCTTGGTTTCCAAATGAGCCAGTGAAGGAAATTTGAATGTGGGAGGTGGAGATGGAAAGTGATCCTTTGACTCCTTACATATATTGCCAAACAGACTGTATTTTCAAGCTAAGCAACTTTGTCCTATCTGGAAATTACCATGCTGTCTTTTCTATCACAAACAAACAAATACACACACACACACACACACACACACACACACACACACACCTCTCTTAATATATGAAAATAGTTCTGGTTGAAATCCTGAGGCCAAGTAATAGCTTGCAAAGGTATTTTACATCCCAAAGCAAATCCCAAATACATTTCCCTAAAATGTTGGAATTAGTAGAAGACTGTTAAAAAGTTATTTTGGGACAGCATAATCTGTATTCCAGCTGGGGAAGATGCTTCTTTTAAAACACTTTTTTCCCCTCTGTATATAAGCATTTATCATTTCTGCTGTTGGATTTAAAACATGCTAGGATTGGGGTTTTTTAAAAAACTATTGTGTGATATAATCTAGACGTACTAGAGGATGACTAATAACTTTCAATAAACCTTAGTGTGGCATTAAGCAAGGAAGAGACTGAAGTTCGTTAAAGACTTCAAATAAGCTTTTTATGTGCCTGGTTCTTAAAGCACTGCTACCTATATAATAGAAAGCTTAAAATGCTGTCTTAAATTGCAGACCTTATACGATTACAAATGTCTCTTCTGTTAGCATAATCCACATGCAAGTGATAAAGTGTGCTTTGATGTGCTAAATTGGAGAAGGATTCTTGGGGCTATGAATATATATATATGATGGAACATCTTTAACTAGATTGGGATAAAGCATGACAGAAAACACAGACCTACGAAACAATAAAAACAGGTCTTCACGGTGAGGGAAGGTTCTAGCGCAATTTGGTATTAGGCAAGACAGTTTGAAAATTTGGTCCTCTGATTTGCAGCAGGAAAGGTAATTTTAACATACTTGCTCTTTATCCATCATTTCTTCCTAACTTAGTGTTGCTTAGGCTTGAACTGCTGCTCTCATCGTGTAGTATAGCCATGGGTGAATGTATAAGAATAGGTCTCCATCGCAGTTGGAGAGCATTAACTTGGAAAAGTGCATTTGTCACAGCCTCTCTCTTGAATCTGCTATGTACGTATAATGGATGGATTCATCCATAGCCCTACAAACATGTAGTTAATTCAGCAGGATGTATTGCATTAAAAATAGTTGGCACTGACACAAAAAAACTTCAGAATAAATTGCACCACTGTGAAAGCTTTCCTGTAAATAGGTACAATTGTCATATTAGTTTTATGCAGAAATAGTGAGGCTATTGTTAACTCTTTTTAATGAACTAATTTTGCAAAAGGACTGCTCTCCAGCAAATTTTACATATCCAGTGTTCTGTTGATTTCTGCATATACCGGTATTCCACAGGCATGGAAACATTTAAACTTTTCCAAGCTAAATTCTGTATCTAATGAAAGGCTCCTTTTCCTGTGCTTCAAAATTCTTTAATTAGGTTCTATTATAAAAGCAATCGTTCACACCAAAAAGAAAGGAAACAAGCATTGCCTTTAAAAATAAGGTAGAGCAGTTACAAGCCATTTTGGAACTTTGGTCTTAATCTTCTTAAGAAGTGGCAAAAAGAGGAAGTTGGGCAAGAAAGGTAGGTAATTTTTCAAATTGTAGCGACTTTGTAGTTTTGGTTCCATCTATCAATGATTATGCCCTTACATTGCCAGATCAATTTTTCCTATGTGCCAACGGCTCTTAATAGGAAAAAGTTCTCTGCCTCGCCTTTAAAATGTTAATAACAAGGCAATGGAAGATTGGCTATCGTTGTTAAACATTTACTGTTTGGGTTTAAAAGACTAAAATTCTTAACAAAGAAAGCTTTATAATTTACTGCCAATTAGATTTATCAGAATGATTCAAAAGTTTGCAAGATTCCAGTGCCTGAGAAATGTGTTTCAAACAGCACTCGTTTAATAAAGATGAGGAATGAGATTATGGTGTGTATAAGATTTCTTTATGCAAAAAGCTTCAGTATGTGACTATCTTGGTTTAGATCATTATTTGCTCCTCTGTGTCTTGATGTCATTGAACAGAAAGTCCCCGGACTTCTATTGTCCTCTTTCCTTTCGGGTGCACGCATGCATTGTTAGTCTGGCTTAGCTGTAAGAAAATTTATTACAGTTAAGTGGCAATTTGTTGCCATGAAACTGCAATTAAAGTATTACAGAGCAGCCATTTTAGATTAACACACATTCAAGAGCATGGGCAAGCACAGAACAGTTCTTGTTATCTTTACAGCATCTGAGCTCTGCATAACTGTAAAACTGTGACATGTTCACCTATGTCTTTTGTCAAGTTAAAGAATTTGAGCTCTCAGTGGAGCACCGTGATCTCATCACAAGCATAACGAAGAAGAAAGACAAGCTGGAACTGATTTTTTTTTTTTTTTTTTGCAAGTTCAACCTGTGATGTATAAAGTTATTACCATATTTGGAGGCACTGTGAGTGCCTTGCTGGAGAGAAAGGGGGTAGGGGAACATTGCTTGTTTTAACTCCCCTGGGGACACGTATGCGTTGGTAAAACGGACTGCGGGCCCTGGACTTGAATGACAATAATATATCCTCAGATCCTAACATGTTAAAGCCTCTTGAACAGAACTCCTGTTATCCCTAATCACAACTAAATGGAATTCAGGTACATATATGATCTAAAGTTAATGCCCCAAACAGATTATGCATATTTAAAACACACAAGAAAAATTAAAAATCTTTCTCTCCCTTCACTTCCAGCAGAAAGTTGTATATATCTTACTTTTTTTGTAAGCTGCCCAGTCTCTAAGAGTGAGTGGGGAGCCATATACATTTTTCTAAATAAATACGTTTTCTAAGTAAGTAAATAAATAAAAATCTTGATTGACTGAACATAGACCTTGACTATAAGTAAATGAGTTTGGGAGTAAATTCCACTGAAGCAAAAACCTTTCAAGTAAAAGTATGCTACTTCTCATTTCAAAGTGATACTTAGAGCTTAGACTTAGAATAACTTTATTGTTACTTTAAATGTACGGTAATTGGTGTACATTAAAATGAATTTTTGTTGCATACAGTTCTCAAAGGGTCACTACTTCCAATATACACTACATTAAACATGATAAATAAAAAAACAAAAACCTATGCATATACCCACATATATGTCAGAGAAACAACAATCTAGTTCAGATATATATATGTACATGGTGAGAAAAATGAATCTTGCAGGTTTACCAGGCGGATGGCATAGGGAACAAAGCTGTTACAGGATCTGGTAGCCCAGCTAGAAATACTTTGAAACCTCCTCCCAGAGGGGAGAAACAGACTTTAAAGTGGGTGTGTAACAATGCTTTGAGCCTCAGCATAAATAGCGGTTATATGCAGTATCCTGAATAACGGAAAGTGAGCTTCCTATTTATCTTCTTGGCTGTCCATACCACTCTCTGTATGGACCTTCTATCGGAGGCACTGCTACAGTGGTGGGTTTCAAAATTTTTTGGAACTTACTCTGTGGGTGTGGCCTCCTTTGTGGGAGTGGCTTGCCAGCCATGTGACCTGGTGGGAGTGGCTTGCCGGCCATGTGTTTTCTTTCTCTCTCTCTCTCTCCCTCCCTCTCTCTCTCTTTCCTTCCTTTTGTCTCTCTGTCCCTTTTTTCTTTTTTTCTTTCATCTCTCACTCACTCTTTCTTTTTTCTTTTTTTATTTATTTATTTCTTCCTTTCTTTCTCTCTCTCTTGTCAGTCTGTTTCTCTCTCTCTCTCTCTCTCTCTTTCTCTCTCTTTCCTTCCTTTTGTCTCTCTGTCCCTTTTTTCTTTTTTTCTTTCATCT